TGCTTACGTTTTTCTGGATATAATTATATTTATTACGGCTGGTTTTTTTGCCTGTAAATGAAACAAGGTTACTCATGTAGGCTGGGATGTAATAAAGAAAAGGGCCCCTTTGAGCATCTCCTGCTTGCCTCTTTGTGCTACTCCCTGATGCTGGTTGTGCTGCCTGAGGCACAGCTGCTATAATAGACTCCAGCTCTGGGTTTGTCCTGGAGACCTGTTATTTTAGGCTGTTTGCAGACTGAATATAATAATGCATTGAAAAGTTAGCTTTACAATCAGAGAACTAAAATGAGTTTTAAAAAGCGTTACATTATGCAGAAATCGTCCAGAAAATGAAAATCAGCAAGGTAAATGGATCTTCCTTCAGTGTGAAAACATTGGGGATTTCTACTTGAATACATTTTAGGCATGCATTACATGGAAGTGTGTTCCTCTCTTTTTATAGTTAAAGCTTCCAGGGTTCAGAGATGACAATTTACATGCCTGCAAAACCAGAAATGTACTGAGATGTATGTTTTTAGAATAACACAGTAATAAATTTCCGATACTCTTAACCTGGAAAACAAGAACCAAATGCAGCTTTGGTGATACTTGCATATTGGAAGCATGTAGTTGGTCCATTTTGGAAAACCAACTGAATGACAGCAGGACAATAATGGCACCATAGAGTCCTACTCTAATGAAAACCTATTGGATAATCTCTGTCCTTGAGTTGGCATTAGAGACAGAAGGTCATTGTGATAATTTTTTTTGTTCCAGAATCAATGTCTCTCGCATCGATGTAGACTTCACATTAGCTTTGGGGTGTGTGCCTGTGTTTGATGAACAGCAGTAGACTATTGTCGTCTGGCAGCCTGTGGTTCTGTGTAAACTCATACTTTTTTTATAAAAGGCCGTAATTTCAAAAGAAGTTAACATCTACATTTCTCAGCAAAGACAATGCTTATGGCGGCTGAACCTACCTAAAAACTAGCCACTTACTTACGTGACCTAAAAGAAGCTAAATATGCTTTTGAAAACCTGACTTCCAAATATAAATGGTAACATAAGTTGAAAAGTGGGCTCTTAAAACATTGTAGGGGAATAACTGTAGAATTCCTTGACTAGTGTTTAATGCTAGGATTTTTTCCCGATCAATAGAAATATGAATAGCGTTTCATTACCTAGCACAGAACGTGCCTTGTAGTCTAATACACAAACAAAATGTTTCTTTTTCAGGTATTACTCCCCTGGATATTCTGAGATGCTTCTGGAAAGGGTGGAAAATTACCATCCAGTTTTATAAACTTCAGTTTTTTATTAGAGCTGTATTTCACATTTATGCCTATATGACTGTAATACAAATACAGCTGTTGAAACTCTCATTTGATTCTGAAGTGTCCTTCTACTGTTTGAACTACGGAAAGAGCTCAGCAATTCCAGCAAGCTGTATTTTTTTTATAAACTTGTTTGTTGTGAAGTTTTTATTCCTTTTTGTTTTTGTTTAACATTACTACCAGATATTGCAGCATATATGAATGGAGTTTCATGCAGGAGTGATGATTTATCACAGAAGCTTTTTTAGAATCAGTCATTTCCTTTTCCTTCCACAAGAAAGGTTTGCTATTATCTTGTTCAAATTTTAGCCTTCTCAGTAGTGTAACCATTTTCCCCTTTTGCCTTTGCATATTGTTTAGAGCTTCCCAAGCTTGATGAGGTGGGGAAAGCTGGCCCCTGTGCTTTTTCTAATTATGGAATCTGTTCTGCACTGAGATATCTCCTGCTGCTACCTTTCAGAAAGTAAAGTGATGTTTTTTGCGTCTCCAAACATGTTAGTAGCTGCTAAATAAAAAAGTAATCAGATCTGATGATGATAAAAGGGCTGAATTCTGCGTGATATGATAGTGTGGTGGTCCCAGCATGGTAGATAGTACATCTTCTGAGAAAGTCCTCCTAATTAAGGCAGGATTCACTGTGGAGGGAAGGAGTGATACACTGTTTGGTGTATGCATCGTTGTTCCTCTTGGAAAGGAGAGAGGAGACTTAGAACTTCCTCTGGCACAAATGGAAGGACCCTGGGAAGTTCGGCTCCATTTGGGTCAGCAGCAAATTTGTGCAGCTCAGAAGAGAGGAAAATTTCTTGGCTGCAGGAACAGCGTTAGTAAAGGTCTGAGCACATTCAGAGGAAGCCTGAGGATGCTTGAGTCCCACTGATTTTAGTGATGGGACTAAGGCTGCTCAGTACTTACTCTTCAAGAGCTGAAATTGCTGCAGAATTGAGTTGAAACACACATGGAACTTAGTCCTGAAGTTGCAGATCACATTGATGTGGAGGTTATTGGAGGTATGAGCTCTTGCCTGTCTGTAGAACACCCTGGAAATATTTTTTGCCTTCTTACGTAGAGTGAAAAGACTTCTACATTCTGCTTGTTCCTCTGGTGTACTCCTGTAGCAGCCGGGCGCAGCATACAACCCTTTAGTATTCCTAACACCTCCCCTCCCCCCGCCCCAGCGTAATAAACAGTGTTTCTGGAACAGGATTTTGGAACACTGGCAGCCACAAGGAAAGACAATATTTGAAAACCCCTGCAGGAGAGAAACTTGTCTACTTTCTTGAACATATTAATGGAATGAGTTTATAAAACAAGGAATAGTCTCTTCTATTACTCATAAAACAGGAGCAAAGACTTATTGCAGTTGGAAATGATTTAGAGTGGCGCTTCTCTGCCAAATTCCAAAGAACTATTTTCTTTTATTCTTGTCAGCGTATTTTTCAGCAGTTCACAAGAACGTCGGTGGGCTATCTTGTGTTAAGGTTTAATTCTACAGAGGGCTGTGCTTCTGCTGTGAGGTAGTTGGTGCTCTCAGACTCTGCTCTTCAGGAGGAGCAGGGGGTGCACAGTACCTTGCTGAACGGAGCCTGACTGAGGTGGAAATGTTGGTGTCATGAATGCTGGGACAGAAACTACACCAGCTGGGTTCTTCCCTTAGCCCACATCAGAGTGAAAAGTCTTGGAACTGACTAGCTTCTACCAAATGCCTTTTCATTTTTGGTGTTTATATTCTGACATTATTAATGCTAGGCCACTAGTGGAAAAACATTAGGTCTATTAAAAAGATTGTTGTAATACTCAGTAATTTTCCCACATGCATTTGGAAGTCAAATCTTGTACAGTCTCTAAAAGAAAATGTAATGGAAGGGCTTCCAGACAGTCTTGAAAGATCTGAAGCCTTTATTTTCGCTGACGGGACAGAAATGGTGCAGAGGGCTGAACGCAGTTGCAGTGCCGACGGGAGGCAGGGCAGGCACAGAGCTGCGTACCCATGGCTGCGTCACGTGCTTGGGAGCACACCCACGCCCCACAATGCTAATGTATATGTTTTGTGCGGAGAGAGCAAAGAGGCTTCAGTTCCCTGACAAATGTGCTCCTGCTGTGTCACACTGTGCTACACTGTAAGGATTCCACAGGGTTAAATTTCAATGCCTAAACAATTTGTTCACAGTCTTTTCACAGTCTTTTTCTGATTCCTGACAAAGGAAATGATTGCACAAGGCAAACCTTCAAAGCGATCTGATTGTGCAGAGCACAATCTAAATCAGACCTAGCATAAATACATCTTCAGACCAGCTAGGCAGTTCTGTCCTAGGCCAGTGGCTGTCTGGCCTCTTGTGGCAGCACTCCCCTGGACGATGCCACGTCCCATTAGGCTGTGGCAGTGCAAAGTCCTGTCCCACGTACTTTGAGACCCCGTCAGCTCTCCGTCGCCGGCAGGCTGCTTCCCTGCAGTGTACGTACAGCTTGTGGCTGGAGGCTTCCCTGAAGGTACGCGTCTGTGCAAGGCAGATCTAGCCCTTTACGGCAGAATTATCGCTCATTTGTATTTCAGGCTTAAATTACTAGGGCAAGAGTTGCTTTTTTCATGTGGTGTTGCACAAGCTCCAGTGTACAGCGTTTCTATTCCATCCTCTCTTTTGGCTTAAGTAATCATCTCAAACTATATTAATGTTTGTAATTACTGCTTTGGCAGGCTTCAAGTGTGCATCATTTGTCTCAATTTCATAGAATAAAATGTAGATTTGCATTTTAATTAATTGTGTAAATGCTGTTTTCGTGATAGTTTGTGACTGTGATGCTAGAGAAGATGAAGAGCAGGTTCATTTTGCAGCTTGAGCCCAACACCGCCTATGGATGTTTGTCTTGGCTTACCACTCAACAGTGCCTACTTCTGAGCTTAGGACATACAAGTGTTTTAAGTAAGAGTCCTTCTCACAGAGGTGGCTTGTTAAGACACACAAAGAAAATTAAGCCAGTGCTTTGGCAGAAATAAATGTAAGCGGAGGCAGCCCTTAAATCATTTTGCCAGTTCCTTTGACTGCACCATTGGGACTTGCCAACCCAAGTCTTTAAAGATCTTCTCTGGGGGCCTGAGCCATGATTTTTGTCTACATTACTACAGCTATTATTACATCTACAGATGTAAACCGGGGCCTTGAAAGAACATGTGGATGTGTAAAACTTTACCATATTTCATTCAGTGGGTGAATTGTAACTGGCCTACAAAAGCTCCATTCTTTATCTGAATGACTGGAAACCAAGAGCATCTGAAAAGGGGAAATTCAAGGAGTTCAACTCTTGTGCATGTAATATGTTCGACATTTCCAGAGGGATTTACCAAGGGGTTGCTTTGTCTCATCTGAGGTGATCAATCTGCTGGAGATCTGCATCTTAGCAAACAAACGAACAAAATGTTGAAGGAGCTGAATGGAACTGGTGAGAGAAGAAATGAATCTCATTTTGTGAAGTAAAGGATAAAGTTACTGTAATTAGGAAGTGGATGAAGTGTGGGTAGATCCTCAATGTTCTTGATTTGGTGTATTGGGGTTGTGAATTAGATTGTCCAGAAGGGAGTTTTGGGTATGGAGGATGCTGTGGGATGGCTTTCGGCTTCTGATGTAAATTGGAGTCCTCTGATTTCTGGGTGTGATCTACTGGCTGACTGTTGTCCCTTCAGGGGAGGAAGCTGTGACAGCATGCTTGCCTCAGTATCTTCCTTAATGGCTGCTTGGTGTCCAGTATTTTGGTTGTTAAGAGTTTTAGATCTCACTGTGTGACCAGGGTAGGAAGGAAATACGGACTAGCACTAGATTGCAAAGCCAGTGGTTCCACTTTTTTTGCACTGACAGAGGGTTGCTTTTATGGTCTTGGATAATTATTACAAATCCCTATGTATCATTATCTTCAGCTGTGAAGTATCTTTTACACTCCTTTGTTAACTTTCAGAAGTGCTGGGAAAATTAAATTCATATGAGAGGTCGATGCAGCAGAACTTAAGTTCTTTATAACTAATACCATGTTCTGAAAGGAACATTGTTCAAGAACCTACAAAAATTTGCCTAAGAAATCTTTGAGATGCTGACTTTTAGAATTTGAATTGAACTAAAAGCCAGTGGATTTTGTGAGTTTCCTCATCTGACACAATTTGAAGGGATCTTGGAGAAAGAGGAAATTACAACGTCTCGCATGACTATACTAAAACTATTGATGTCATTTTTGTATAATACCAGTTAATGTTGATGCTACTGTGCTGTACTCTGCAGTCAGCTCTATAATTCAGCTAGTGAAAATACTAATTATATTATTACCGCTGTACTATATTTCTAGATACTGCACCAAAGATTGAATTAGAAAATACATGTAAGCAATACGAAAGCATATTTTGATGATGAGAATGCCTTTAAACCAGGAAATGGTATTGTTCTGCCTTTCACAAGAAGTTACTCTTCCTTGGGTTAAACACATTTCTTAGGTGTTTGTGTTCCCTCCTACCCAGAGGTCTGATCGCTGGATGCTCGATGAAGTACTGAGGACCATGGTCTACTGTCTGTAGCAGAAACTGGTTGTGTTTACTATCGTGCATCCGCAAGCTGCAGAGAGGAACAGTGCAAGTGTACCAATGTCGTCATTTAACAGCTTTCCACAGAGATCTTGAAGGCTTGCTTTTTGTTGATAAAAATACACTTGTTCCTACTAATTCCTACCTCCAAATTGAGTTAAAAAATAGGTACCCAGATTAACTTTAGCTATTCTATATTTTGTTCCTTTTATAACAAAAATTAAATTTTGAGAGGGGGCGAAGTGTGTTAATGTCTATATTTTTTGTGTCAAAATCTACAACAAAACTCTTTGTAATCTTGTGACAAGATCTTTACCCTTTGCTCTCAAGGAAAGTTTTGTCTTCACGGATACAGACTAGTGATGTGTTTTATCCTTGTTGTCCTATTTATAATTAGGTCTGAGGGCCTCTGTACATGTTCACCTTTCAATATTAGGTCAGTGTTAAAGCCATTATCAACTAAAAAGGTTGGATTACTACCAAGATTCAGCCTTCGTTGCCCCACAGTGCTATAAATCATATGCCAATATTGTTACAAATTAATAATATGCAACATAAAGGTCTGATGGAATCATGTTA